ATGTTTACGTAGGCCGCAAGAATGCTTAGCATGCCGTTCACCGAAAATATCATGCCGCGTCGCTGACCAACAGACGTACAAAATATATTTTGTTGTTTTCAGTTCAACAAACCCACGCGACGAACGTGTGCCACCTTTGGAGAAAATGCCTTGTTTGACGGGGCCCTATTTTACGTATACGTACGCACCAGAAAATAACTCTCTAAATATCCGCCTGTGGCGAAAACAAGAAGAGGAAAGGGACCCTCCCGTCGTGTACATCCACGACCGCCTCGGATCCAACCATTTCCTCTTCCTGTAGAACTCTGTTGCTAATACAAAGGACAGGTCGGGCACGGGGCCCTCCCGCAATATACACGCCGCAAATCGCACCGCACCCGAAACTCATGTACGCAACAAGGATCTCTATCGTCAAAGGTCAAAGGTCTCTCTCCAAAGGTCTCCCGTGCGCAGCATATCGTATTTAACACAAGATAACGCAGCCGGATATCAAGAGTACCCCCGCGATGGTCACGTCCGTCTCTCATGTGCGATGATGCTCCGTGATGTGTGCCGTCGTCGAATGCCTGCGTGCGAAGTTAGCACGCGTGTAGCAAAACATTATGTCAAAAAACACAGTTAGCCATGCGCCTGACCCTGTTTTTTTGGCCCAAATTCTGTCACGCGGAGCTTCTTTCGAGCAGCCCATTCTTCTGAAAAATTTATTTTGTGGCCAATCAATCCCCACATTTTTGGCGGCCACGTCAGTTCAACAGGCGAAAAGACTGCACAATCGGCTGTGGTGTGTCTTGCTTTTTTTTAGTTGGCGACGAAATAGGATTGCTGTAGCCGTCCCCGTTCCCACCCGGCTATGGGGAGGCCGCAGGGACATTGCGTAGAGAATAGAACAGTCACCGCTACTCATGCCACAAGAACGGTCGCAAAAGCTGCAGTAGCGCCCGCGGTAGAGCCGTTGCGCGCTGGCACAAATTTCACAGATGAGCGGATGAGCGGGAAAAAATACACCCGATCAGCCAGAGAAGGTAGCTCTGATTTTACAATGTTACAGCAACTGAAGCTGTCGCCGCCCTTCCCACCCCTCCAAGGGGTTGAAGAGAACCTGCGAGGAAAGAAGGGAAGCCATTGCTACTTATGGCACGACAACGACAGGAAGAGCTGCAGTGTATCGTTGGTGGTGGAGCCAAGCTATGTCGCCCAAAAGTCAGTTGAACGACGCGTCACACACGCACACGGAAGAGGCAGCGGTCCCACCCAAAATCACTTCACACCCGAATGGATATGCAACGACCACCCCCGTCACTGCCGGTCTATGGGGCTCAACAGACATTGCAAGGAAAGTAAGAAAACCGATGCTACTCGTGGTGCAGGAACGGTAGCAAAAGCGGCAGTAGCGCCGGTGGCAGGGCCGTTGCGCCAGTGCAAACTTTGGAGATGATGAGCGGAAAAACAAACACCGACCATGAAGAAGAGCAGGTGGACTGATTTTTACACCATGGTACAAAAAGGAACTGAGGCCGCCGCTGCCCTTCCCGCCCCTTCAAGGGGTTGATGAGACACTGCGAAGAAAGCAGGGAAACCACTGCTACTAATGGCGCAGCAACGGCAGGAAGAGCTGCAGTGTAGCGCCGGTGGTGCATCGAGCAATGTCGCCCAAAAGTCATTTCATGAGCAAAAAAACGCACGAAAAAATCAATCCCACACAACAATTTCAGCTTTTTTCAACGTCGCGCCTGCGTCGTCCCCGTTCCCAAATCCCAGACAGACCACCCCCTCGCACCCTCCCCCCTAGCATTGCTCCCTCCAGAGTTCGCTCCCTAGATGCTCGCCCCGCAGGCGGCAGTGGACCTCCGCGTACTTGATCCGCCCGTCTACACAGAATCGGCTGGTTGTGTGGTCACCACATTTTTTTTGTTTGACAGGCGGAGACTTTTTCTGGACTTTTGGACCCGTGCATCACGCCAAAACTACCCCATCTAAGGCATTGTTATCAACTTAAGCTTTCTAGAACAATTTTGCGAATCTTACCTACTCGAAACGATCTAGAAGAAAGACCACATTTTTCAATTTTATATGTAAATATTTGAGTGTATTGGTAGCCCACGCTGCTCACAATTCACCTTCACCATGGCAACCACCACTACAAAATCGAAGACGAAGAAGAAGAAAAAGAGAAAGAAGATGGCCGACATCACAACACGGCTACACGAGGTCTACAACATCAACACGCTACGAAGAAACGACGACGAGCTTTCGCAACCGAAGTTTCAACAAACGACTTGCCTGGAAACAGTGGGATATTCCGAGGTTTAAAAACCCCTAAAAGCTGGACCCTTGAGGAGACAACTTAGTTGTTTCTATCTGTTTTTGTTCACTACAACTTAATAGTTCCGGTTTTCTTAAGTTGATATTAGTGATCTAAGGATTCGTACTGAGAGACGTCCGCGGAGCGGATGCTGGCGCGGTTTCTTGTATCGCCTCCGTGAGAACGGTAGCTATGTTTTGGTCGGTGGCGATTTTCGCGAAAGCTCCACACGCTCGCGGCCGCTGTGAATTTGGCCGAAAAATACTTGATTTTTGAGGGTTTGATGGGATAGAACCCGCCGATTGAAAAACTGACCGACAAAAACACGCATATGTCCTGTTCACACGTGTGTACTGAACCGCATGAGCCAGTTCGTTGGTGGCATCGAGTATTCCGCGTTCTCCTCTCGCTCTCTATTATCAAGTCAATACAGGATTAGGCGCCGTCGACCGGAAAAGCGGACAAACAAAATTTGTGTGATTTTTCATCGAACAGCCTGACCACGCGCATACACCAAAAAGGGGGGTCAGGTGCAGGGCTAACTCGAAATTGATGGTCGAACCGGCACCCATTGCCGACCGGCGGCAGATTTCAACACCGTTGCTTTCGGCGCTTCGGTTTAGATATATAAATTTGACAGTGAGGCTAGCGTAAGTGTTGTCGTACCTCAGTCGCTGTCGACCAGAGATATAATATCCACAGCGCCCAAGCGTGTAGCCTCTCCGGTAGAGCTTGTCGCAGGACACGAGGGTGCAGTGTTTCCAGTAGAGCTTGTAGCAGCGCCTGAGGGTGTAGACTTCTCGGTAGAGGCTGTGCCGGCGCCCGAAAGTGCAGCTGCTCCAGTAAAGTCTGTGGTGTGTGCGTCCATGAACTCTTGCTTAGTTGTTACCTTCACGATCGAATCCGCGGGTGCAGTCGCTCCAGCACCGTGCATGGGAGTGGCAATAGTTGCGTGGCGTCCATGAGGCACGGCCGAATCCGCGGGTGCAGTCGCTCCAGCACCGTGCATGGGAGTGGCAATGGTTGCGTGGCGTGCGACCGTCGAATGTTTCGCTTTCATTATTGAAGCCTCCACGGCTAAATGTGTCGCTTGCATTTCGTTGGCATCGGCCTGTTTCGTAGACGCTTCGTCGCATTTGGCCAGGTGGTGCAGAATTTTTAGTGTTGCTTGAAGATGCTCAGCCGCTGATATCGCAACACGAACATCTTCTACGTTTGAACGACCGCGAGCCGGTCCGTTCTGCTGCGCAGCATTGATTGCGCGCCATGTCTGATCGATCGCCAGCGTGGCCTCCTGTCGTGCCTTGCCGTGGTCGTTTGTACTCATTACAGATATTTCCTGTGAGAGACAACAACAGGTGTGTTGAAGACCAGCGAGACGAGAAACTTTCAGGAGTGTTCACACCAGTGGTCGGTTGCACTTTGGTGTCTTGCAGCATCCTTGTACTACGTAATAGCCTTTGTGGCGCGGCAAAGTTTGCATGTTGTCTCACCTGCTGTATCTGGTCACCCTTTGTGTTATTGGTCTTGTTTGTGTCTTGAGCAAGCTGCGGTGGTGCTCGCTGTCCGGGTTGCTGTGGCGTTTGCTGTCCCGATTGCTACAAAAAGGGGGGGGGGGGCCGCTGATAGTACAATATTTACATTAGTACTGTTGACATTTGGTGCAATTGCAAAAATATGTGGAACGTCTAGACCTGATGTACCACCGTTATACAGCCAAATACTCTGCTTCACAGCCATACACTCTGCCATCAACGCGAACGGCAACGAGTAGGCTTGCCCGTCAATTGGTGAGATGGTGTGAGTTATCGCGGTCGTTAGAGTTGCGTGCTAGCACACCGAGAATTTTGAATCGCGTGCGCCGGAGCTCTGTTGTTGTGATGAGTTCATGTCATATTCTGTCAGCTGCTGCGCATTTAAAGTTCGAACACGCAGCTTGCCGCAGAATTCAGAGAGCACGAAAAAGGCGCACGCGATTTAAAGTTCTCGGTGTGCCAGCATGATCACTGCTGTGTGACGCAAACACACGTGCCGCGTTCCTCAAGCGTCGACCGCATCAGCAAGCTGAACCTGAATTCTGCAACAGGGTACGTCTTCGAAGTTTTTTGCAAACAACTGCACCGCAGGTGACAGAATACGAGACAAACTCATCACAACAACAAAGCGCCGGCGAACGCGCGCGCATTTTTTTCCTCCCATCATTGGATTCTGTCGTCTGCCACTCTGGCCCCTTTGCTCCACTTCTACTAGCTAGACGACCCAACCGGGGTCACATAGGAGGGGGGGGGTTGGACCCCCTCCTGCGGTACATGCCTATGAAGTTTTCATCGCGAGCGGGTTCAGCAATTCCACCCTCGTCAACCATGAGGTCAATGCACCAAGGCATTATTTACCAAAGAAATCAGAACAAATCGCGTCCAATTTTTCCAGTAACGAATGTGGAAAGAAGACTAAATACGCGGGGAATCTAATCCATGACCTGAAACTTAGAAGGTTTACGTGGATACCAACTAGACCACCGGGGCGACCGGCATGACCACTGCTGTATGACGCGAACATACGTGCTGCGTTCCTCAAGCGTCGACCGCAACAGCAAATTTACGCTGTTGGAGTAAAAACAGATGTTTTGATGAATTTGTCTCATTTTCTGTATCTTTTACCGCTTGCGTTAATTTGCCGCCTCAGCAATCGTTTGACTATGGAAGTGGCAGATAGCACATGGGAGCTTGCTCACGGATGCCTGACTTTCGCCGAGTGTGTCGTGAAAAACACGTCGCTAAAAGCGGATAACTTGGAACATGCGGTGCTCAAAGTGCAGCAGCTGTTGACCGCCTTACGTCCGCCGGCACCGGTGTCAACGGCGGCGAGTGCGGCGGACGTCACCGTTGAAGGTGGCGCACCAGTCGTGAGCGCGAGCGTTCCGATGCAGGTATTGAGTGCCGTTGTTTTTTTGCGTATTGCTTGCACGGGTACATCCTCTGTCCAGACGTATGCTTTCCGAGATAGACACACACACTTGCTCAGAAACTACAGTTTAGTGCACTGTTGTACAGCAGTAGTAGTACAGCAGCAGCAGTAGTAGTGCCTGCTCAGAAGCTACTGTTGTCACACTGTTGTACAGCAGTAGTACTTGCCGCAGAGAGCCAGTTATGGACAGGCATGCACACTTGCTCAGAAACTACTGTTGTTGCACTGTTGTACAGCTCTTACCCTTGCCGCAGAGAGCCAGTTATAGAGGAAAAACAAATAAACACAGTCACATTTGATTCAACAGGCTGCTGGTTCTTCGCATGAAATGGAGGGCGACTCGTGTGACGTCGTGAATGCGGCGGGTGTCACCGTTCAAGATGGCGCACCAGTCGTGAGTGCAAGCGTCCCAATGCATGCACTGTCATCAACTTAAGAAGCAATTTCATTTTCTTGTTTTTTTATCTTGCGATGAATAGATGTCTACAAAAAGCGTAAATGTCAGAGCAGGAAAATATGGCTCAGTGGTTACACACCTGGACTCTTGTAACAAGTTTGCGTGGCTATCTCCGACAGCAATCGTCTGGACAGAGAATGTACCCGTGCAAGCAATACTCACTCTTGCACAGAGCATACGGCAAGGGAATATGCCGTTGTTGCACTGTTGTACAGCAGTAGTACTTGCCGCAGAGAGCCAGTTATGGACAGCGTTAGAGATCTGCTCAGAAACTACTATTGTTGCACTGTTGTACAGCAGTGGTGGTAGTGTACCGTAGCTGTTACCCTTACTTGTGCCGCGTCCCCATCGTTGTGATTGCCACACATCGACCTACCGCTGCGACCATGCTTACCGCATGCTCAATCTTGCGTGTGTCTCAATTGATTAAACAGGTTGCTGGTTCTTCCAATAAAATGGAGTACGACTCGTATGAGAGCAGCACGGATGCAGAGCCGGACTCCGACTATGTTGGTACCGATGAACAAGAAGACGATCAGCTTGAACCGCGCCGGAGCAAACGCGAGGGCAAGGGTAAAATTTCCCGCACGTAAGACGTTGTTTCGTGGAGACGGGTGACACGTTGACAATTGGCTATAAATAACATGATTGCGAGACGTGGAAAACCTGCTGAATTTACTTAATATTTAGACATAGCAGACGATTACGATTTTGTTTTTGCAGGTTCGACATGAGCAACGTCAACGCTGCTGGCAAGAAGACCGCTGGCAAGAAGACTGCTGGCAAGCGGACTGCTGACAAGAAGACCGCTGGCAAGAAGCGTGTTGACAACCGCCCACGTGTGAGTTAAAAGTGTTTTGCTAACCGTGACGTTTTTGACGTCAAGACTATTTTACACAACCCGACTCCGAATCAGCTATGTACGGTAACAGTCTCAAGTCCTCGTTCTTCTCTTGTTTTTTTGTAGGCTCTGTGCATCCACACAAACTGCACGGCCCGCCGCTACTACGGCTACCAGGGAAAAAAACCGCAATTTTGCGCCGTTCACAAGACTGCTTCCATGGTCTACACTGGAAAACCTGTGTGCATGGTGGACACATGCTACAGACCGGCGGATTTTGGCATCTTGCACGAAAGTCGCCAGTGTTGCTCGATCCACAAGACGGTTGGCATGGTGAACCTGGCGCACAGGCACTGTGCCACCGAAGGGTGTTACAAACGCCCCTGGTTTGCGTGGAGTAACAGGGTCATGCCGACTCACTGTTGCGCGCACCGCAAGCTTGGGATGAAGAGCTTTCGCTGAAATAAGAACCCGCGTCCGAACTGTTGAAGTTCTATCACTAATATCAACTTAAGAAAACCGGAACTATTAAGTTGTAGTGAACAAAAACAGATAGAAACAACTAAGTTGTCTCCTCAAGGGTCCAGCTTTTAGGGTTTTTTAAACCTCGGAATATCCCACTGTTTCCAGGCAAGTCGTTTGTTGAAACTTCGGTTGCGAAAGCTTGTCGTCGTTTCTTCGTAGCGTGTTGATGTTGTAGACCTCGTGTAGCCGTGTTGTGATGTCGGCCTTCTTCTTTCTCTTTTTTTTCTTCTTCGTCTTCGAATTTGTAGTGGTGGTTGCCATGGTGAAGGTGAATTGTGAGCAGCGTGGGCTACCAATACACTCAAATGTTTACGTATAAAATTGAAAAATGTGGTCTTTCTTCTAGATCGTTTCGAGTTGGTAAGATTCGCCAAATTGTTCTAGAAAGCTTAAGTTGATAACAATGAGTTCTATGGGTGCCGCTGGTATGCGTGGAGTTTCAAGAAGAGTCCGACGCACTGTGGCAAATGGTTGCGTGCGTGCGCCGAAAATCGCGGCACGGTGCACAAAATGCCGCGAGACAAGAGTTGAGATAACAGTTGTTCAGAGCGTACCGGTGGCGATGCTGCAAAATTTGGCAAAAAAACGCGTGGACCGATTTTCGAAGTCCATGTTTTCAGCGTTGTGGCACCAGTGTAACGATATTTGCAAGTACAACAAGCGCAACGTACGTCTGTTTTTGGCGCTCTTGGTCGGTAAGAGTATATGCGCCTCGGTCAATTCGACGTATAATGTGCAAGACTTCTCGCCCCGGACCAATAACGGCGGGGGTAACACCACAGGGGGTAGTAAGGGTGGTAGCAAGGGCAAGGGCAAGTCGGGCGGGGGTAAGCGAAATGCGCAGAAGGGGTGGGGGGGGAAGAAGTGCCGGAGGGCGAGGCGGTAGATTTTTACTTGTTTTTAGTGTCCTTTGTCCGTGGACTACCGGCCCCAGATTTCAGTAGCGTAGAAATAAAAAAAGTTCATATGCTCCTGCGTCCCACACCGCACATTGCTGTAAACTTAAGCATGTTGGAAACTTAAATGTTTTCTATGACAATGATACGAAAATGGCTCGCCCGTTTCACGGTGAAAGTTATCTGTTCAAACTGGGGAGGGCCCCATATCTCAATCAACCAGCGGGGCTTGGGACGACATTCGCCAGGGTGTTGTTTGTTTTATCAGAAAAAACATCCCCATCGAAAACAATCTTGTGGTTCAGTACAGGCCTGTTCACAAGTGGCAACTCTTGCGAATATGTTATCCATCATCACATTCCAAAAAAGTATTTTTACCCCCATCCTCTTTTCTCCTATTTTTGTTGGAGCACACGTGGACTTGTTAACTATGGTCCACCGTTATTAGCTCCACCGCCTTCGCCGCGAGGCGCACCCTCGTAGCGCCATTTTAATTGACTGGTCCATGGTGTTGCCGTTCTCGAGCAACGCACGCCTGTAGGCGGACTCGCACGCGTGGTGATACTCGCTCCAGAAACGCGGGCCACCGGTATCAAACAGCTCGCGGGTGATGTACTGTATTCCCACGAGCTCCTCGAGGTCGACGTCTATCAGACCACATATGTAGTCGTGGCAGTACACGCTATCCGGCCGAATGTCTAGCCCTCTCAAATCCATGGCGTCCTGCAACACACGGCGCCGGTGCGTGCGGTCGTCTTTTGTGCGCCAAAACTCCGCCATTTTGGCCGCTACCGTCTCGGGGTCGTGGGCGTACTCGATGCATCGCCGCACCCTCGTTCTCATCGCGGGATACTTCATCATTCGCTCGACCTCGGCATTACTACCCTGCAGCGCCATGCGTAGCATTCTTGGTGCGTTTTTTTTCAGCCGCTCGACGCTCGCCGGAATTTGGGAGAGGGGTCCGTTTTTTAGTTCAGCCAGCTCCGATGGGCAGAGAAAGCGCGAGATAGCCACCCCCTCCAACCGGAGCGCGCGTGTGGATACAAATAGGGAGTACTCGAAATCCCGCCGCAGCTGGTCGTACACGAACGCGGTGATGCCGCGGTTCTCGCAATAATTCATGGCCGCAACGGGGTCGTGCGGGCACAGCCGCGCTGAAATGTCGTGTGCCGAAAACCTGTACTTGACCTGCTTCAGTTTTTGCTTCGGGTGTGTCGCCCACAGATAGTCTCCGAAAATGTGAGAGAATAGAGCGCGGTGCAGCGGAGCAGCGGGGCTGATGCCGTGCACCCTCGTCAACCGCTCGAGCCTAGTCTGCCTCTTTTTCTGCAATGATAGGGCCTTGGCCTCACACTCTTGGTCCACCGCGCCTTGCAACACCCTCAGCTCCGCCACCGAATACATGCGCATAGGCGCGGCGTTACGGTAGTGGGGGTTGTGTCGCGGCGTAGACATCAGTTGTTTCACGCGCTTCGGCGGTATCGTAGGGAAGAGGTCCCTGGCCTTGGAGAAGCAAACGATGGGGTCACCCTCGTCACTGAGTGCGGTTGACGCGCATGACGTGCACACGAGTGTGAGTCGAATCCCCTCGAATATCCCGAGGTTGTTGGTCTGATTGCATGAATTGCAAAAACAAGAAGCCATGTTTGAAATGTGGCACAATCTCTCACCTATACCTTGCTGGCGCTCTGTCACTCGGCTTCTGGCCAAAGGGGGGTGGCTGTAGGAGAACTGACGAGAACCAGAATTTATACTGATCGTAAGGGGTAGACCGGGGGTGTGCGTCGTGTTGCCCCGGTCTCCGCTCTGTTACCCTCCCCCTTGGCGAGCAAAGGGGGTACGTACAAATATTAATGACAAACTTCGAAAGCATCTAGAACACCAACATTTATTATCCAAATACGTCGGCACCGGCGATACCTTGGGATACTATCAATCATTTCTGATACAATCTGCGGAGCTTCCTTCCACACATTCAGAGTCATAAACTATGTAATTTTTTCATGTAAGGATAAGCGGGGCTCAGGTTTGTCCGAAGGGGTTGCTCGCCAAATCTGTGCTATGGGTGTTGGTTATTGTTGGTGTGTTATGGTTGTGGTTGTGGTTGGTGGTGGTGGTTTTGACATCGGGTTTCTTGTTCTTCTGGGGGTTGAGGGTTTGTGCCGGTGCCGATACTCCAACCGTGATCTTACCTTCATGCCCTGTTGTCCCACCGTTTCACTCCCCACGCTCGTCGACCACACGAACTATCTAGACCCATGAAAGGATAAAGAGTCTGTCTCAGGGCATACTAGATACGGTGGGTTAAGAGTCGCGGGGTAGCCGACTCTACCTTGCAGTATTTATGTCTGCATATGGACACACACAGGGCGGACACCCTGCGCAGGACTTTTTCAGACAAACAGACCCCAATGGTGGACATCATTCGCGGAAAATACACTCGAACAGACACGGAATTGGCGGACACCAAGACCGGGGCGAAAGACTTCTGCGAGGTGGAGAGGAAGCACTTTTGGCAAGTATGACACCTATTTGGCGGTGTACACTGCTAGGGTCATCGACTTGGCACACTTTGAGCGACAGGGTAGCGTGTCGACATCAGTGACTTCTCGCAATCGGGCAGGGTCACAACGGTCTGTCCTAGAGAGCCCAACAACGCAAACAACACCCGAAAATCAACAACTTTGACCGAAGCCTCGAGGCACAGAGAAGCATGCTTGCGTCTAGCACACACGAGCAGAAGAGCAACGTATCACGCGGAAGATGGGGGACGTTGATAACGGCTTGGCAAAAAAATTGAATGTAAACTGGGAGACGTTGCGAGGGGAATCGGCGGCACTTTGGTGTCACAACCGTCGCAAATGAGCGACGTCAAGCAGTATTTCGGAGACAAAAATTGTTTTCCGGGTATCGATGACTTCGTAGAGAGAGTCGGGGAAGGAGCCCCGGCCCCCACTCTCAACTCGGAGCAAAACCTCAAAAAAGAAGCTCTGGCGAGGGACGACCGGTGGCGGCCGAGGGAGATCGAACCCCCGCTCACGTCTGTCGCGGGTATGGAACGGAGGCCGGATCAGGGCAGGTCGTTCAGCGTGTCCTGACCCGGCCTACGTTCATCGCTCGCCTCACCGCTGAACGTGCTGCCGGTGTTCGATCGCCGTCGGCCGACAACGGTCGTCCCCCGCTCGAATGGGTCGGAACAGGGCCCGGCCAAGTATAACCTCTGGGAGGAACCCCCTTCGAATAACAGGCATCTGTGGCATTTGGCCGATACTTCGCCATCGCCATCTGCGCGACGTTGTCGTCATTGCTTACGAAATTCAGCTTGAAAAACCTTGCATGATTGGCACCTTCAATGTGAAGCGACCTCGATTGTACGGGGATCGTATGGACGTCCCCTCCTGTCGTGGAACTTGAATGCATCTGGGCTGCAGGTATCACCCTGGCTGGGGGCGTTAACTGTCTATAGATTATGGCAATACCGTATTGTTTGGGGTCTTAAACGTTTAGCTCACGTGCCCCGCTCGGCCCTATATTTTCTACTTGCGTCTACCACGACTGCAGATCATTGGCTGGAAATGCCCTCTCCAGGCTTCCTGCAGGCCTCTTTGACGGGATGGAGGGCCTTACTGTTATGTTAGTGTTGGATCCTCACGCTGCTCTACTGCTCTCGTCGACATGTTATGGCGGTTGAAAAAATCATTCTTGGTCGGCGCAATCTTCTTGTTCGATTCCTTCGTAGCGGTGATGATGACGCAGCATGTAGGTTTAAGCTTTTGTTCGGTAGAAAACTGTAAGCAATCGCAGATGCTCTGGCAGTCTGCGCTTGCGCATGGTAAGAGCTCAATTTTCCGTTGTTCTTGCTGGACAGAAAAAAAAACCCCCCAACTACTTTGCTGAATGCCCGACGAAGAAGTAGCAGCTTGCCACCATAACGGTTTCGTAACAAGCACCGGTTGATCTCGTCATAGCTTGTCCCACCGTGCGGCAAGAACAATCATCTCGAAAATAGCCAACCTGGTATTGGGAGAGTGCTCTATTCTACGAGACACCTGCAGTCGAAAGCAGCTGGGGCCAGATGCTGTGTTTGCGTCCAACCATATTTGACAGAGTGCCAGTCAGGGGGGAACCGCAAAGTCAGACGAACCCTTCAGAATGTATTGCTCTTCGGCGAAATTATCCAGTGGAACCACGAATGTTGGCTATACACTTCACAAGCAGGACCTGCCAGCGAGCACATGCCGATGCGATTGAGCCTCGTGGCATGCCGATGCGATTGAGCCTCGTGGATCGAGAGGGCTACAGCAACTCAGAGTTGCTCTTTCTCCCCCGTTGTCGCCAAATCGTTCCTTCTCAACACTGCGCTGTCCACGGCAGCGATCTGAGCGAAAACGAAGACCTTCAGTGCATACCGTCATTGGCAGGGTGAGCTACTGACTCGGGTTTCGCCGTGATCGAGCCTTTAGAAAGAGTTTCCCCAGGCGGTAGGCGCCAGCGGAAACTACGGGTAACAGCTATGTGTGAAGTAGAATGCGCCACTTCTTCTGTGACTGCATTCATCCTTTGAAGGTATCGTACTCGCTGCGATACGCACACGACCCTCAAAGAAGTGTCACCAACCTGGAACAAGCCTCAAGACTCGGTGAAGGAGAGGGGTGGTCATAACTGCGCAGGATGCTTGCCTACCACACACCGTTTGCGTGCCTGTAATTGTGAGCTTCGTACGAAATCATGTCGAGGTTTAAACATGCACGGTAGATTCATGGTGCCCAGCTTCGCGGGTACCCGAGAATGCAGTAGAAAGGCACGAGAAACGTCTTTACCACCGCCGTGCTACTCTCTCGCTGTTCCAGGTCCCCCAATTGTTCTGCGTTTGAATGGTCCCTCCCGGTAGGGTTCGGCGATGGCGGCACGTGTTGTGAGTGCAGCACCTCTTCCCATATTCGGAAAGGGAGCGGTTTGGGGCGTAGTGCTACAGAAGAAAGGAAATTATGCACGACGAAAGATCAGTGAAGATTGATCACAACTGCGTGGCCCTTTAACCGCCCGGATATATCTTCCACTACTCTCCGTTGCTGCAGTCTGTGGTAAGTAGTAAATATGCCAAACCGAGAAAATTATCGCTCGAGGAGGCCGGTTTCTCGTAACGAGGTGTTGGTGCAAAACCCCAGACCCGCGTTTGGCCTGAAGGAGCAACCGCTACATGTTTCTGATCTGCCCAACATGAAAATTAGGTGCGCCGCTGGAGCTTGTATATTCATCGGGCTCGATCTGTTAAAATTCTCTGCTACGATGAACAGTTCCCAACGGTCGGAATTGATGATCGCAATAAGAACGCCAAGATGATGACGTAGGCGTTCCTTGGTTCTTGATTCTGCAGGGTTTGCTTCTGCTATCCCCAAACACGTAAATATATGTGGGTTAGCCGCCCGAAACGACTAATTTTGCATACACAAGTAGGGTTATACGCAACGCTCGGCCGTGTGCGCTGTACATTTAGCCAACGCCGAGGTTTGTTGTCGCCTGGTGAACGAAAATCACGTCAGTTGTACTAGCGGTTTTGGTTTTGGAAACCTGACGGTAGTCTTCATGGCGTGGAGCACTTCGCTGATGCCATCGGCAGGTCTCTTTCTTCGCTGTGGTGCTACCGTAGGAAAGCACAGTCTGTAGTTTGACAAGATTCCCCGCGTTCGACCATTCTTCGGAACCGGAGCGTGTACCTACAGAACCTCTTGACTTTCCCTAGTTCCTCTGGGCTGGCAAGTGTTTGGATGCGGATGGTGATCCGGTGTTCAGAGCCTTCGCCGGAAATGGCATTTCCAGCGCAACCTACATTATTTGGCAAATGGTACAAGCTTCCATGGAAGCCAGCGCCAGCTTCCTTACGGCTACCATGGAAGTTGGGCAGTTTCGATGGAAACAGCAGGTGTTTGCTTCCGTGGAAGTCGCATCTTTAACTTCCACGAAAGCGAGAAGAACTTGCATCGAAGTCTTGAGCACCATGGGAGTTCGTACGTTGAACATCTCCGAAAATGCAAGGTTGTTGTTGTTGCTGTCTTCACATTAAAAACAGTTCCGGTCGCCGCTCAGTACCTTCTACCATCCGTACCGGTCCAACTGACGGAGACGCCTTCCATGGTCACAAGTCAACTGCCCCACCAAAGGGGGGGGGTACAGCTTTCAAAGAAAGAAAGAAAAAAATGGACACAAGAAAATATTTCTCCAAGGCGCGATTTGTTTTTCTACCCAAACGAAAAGAAACAAAACAACTAAAAGGAAACAAGGCCAATGACCTGGATACAGACGATCGACCCCGGTCAAAAACGGATGAAAGAACCAAAGACACGTTCATGAAAGTACGGCAACTCCACGAATGAAACTTCCTTGAGATAAACTCCCATGGAAGAAACTTTCACAGAAAGGTTTGTCATGGCTGAGAGGAAAATTGCCTGGAAGACCGACAGATTCCATTAGAGTATATTGAAGCAACTATCCCTGACCCTAACCCTACATTGTCGCCCAAAGTTTTCTTAAAGCTGGACTCGGGTGATATTCTCCCATGGACATTGTGCCGGAAAGCTTCTACATCATGGAAACTGCCCGAAGGTAGGCAACTTCCATGGAAGTTGGTTGAACTGACTTCCATG